CAAATGTAGATATGATAGAGCCCAATTGGCTCAGGAATCTGTACACCTGTTGGTTGACGGTTGAGAGGCGGGACTAAAGAGCCAGAGCCCAACCCCCACAAACACATCTAGGTTAGTACAACAAGGCGAGTACATCCCCATCCTCCCGACCAGCGGTCAGCGCTCGGGGATCGTAGTCCTAATTAAGCCTGGGGTTCGATTCCCATACTAGGCAGAAACAAACTGGCAGTTCCTTTCACCCTGATGCACCTGTTCACCCATCAGTAAATAGGTACCTGGGAGTTAGGTAGCTGCTACGGGCCGCTTCCTGGGGATATGAATGTGTGTGTACTCACCTAAGTGTGCTTGCGGGGGTTGTGCTTTGATCTTTTGGCCCGCCTCTCAACTGTCAATCAACTGTTTACTAACTACTTTTTTTTCCACACCACACCATACACACACACACACACACCCCAGGAAGCAGCCCGTGACAGCTGACTAACTCCCAGGTACTTATTCACTGCTACGTAACAGGGTCATTCAGGGTGAAAGAAACTTTGCCCATTTGTTTCTGCCTGGTGCGGGAATCGAACCCGCGCTACAGAATTACGAGTCCTGTGCGCTATCCACCAGGCCCCATGTGTGTGTGTGTGTGCGAGCGTTCTTGGGGTTGAAGGGCCGCGCCTTGTGGGAAGAAGGTTGCTTGGAGCGTGTACCCACATGGAGGAGCAAGGTACTCCATGCAGCAAGTAGAGTACCTGGCTCCTCCATGTTTATTCACCGAGTTTACTTTGGTCGTGGACAGTGTTGAGGACTACGGTGAGTATACTTGCTAGTGGGTCACATACCTATTGTGGGGGGGCTTAATAACTCTCCAGAGGCTGATCCATCACTGCCCACACGGGATGGGTATGGGGGGCATAATAAAGAATTTGAATTGAATTGGTTGATAGACCTTAACCCCCAACACAATAATACCCCCTCCCCCCCAGGGGGGATGGTATCTATGGCTTTGTTCTCAATCCAAGATTATGCAGTCTACTCTCCATCCCCCCCCCTCTCTCTCTCTCTCTCTCTCTCCTCTCTCCTCTCTCTCTCTCTCCTCTCCCTCTCTCTCCCCCCTCCCTCCCCCCCACCCCTCTCTTATTCTAGTCACCCTGTATTACAACTTTGGCGTGTCAGATCCGACTTTTTACTCATCTTAAACAAAAGAGGTTCTTAGTTAAACATTTTCACTATCGAGATGATTCACAGGACTTTTGTTGACCATTGGATCCTGTCCTTTACAGGGAGTGCGTGTGTGAGCGCGCGCGCACGCGTGTTTTCCGGGTGAGGGTGGGGTTTTGTGTGTGCTCATCTGGTTGTGATTGCGGAAAGGGGGGGGGGGGTTTGAGCTCTGGCTCTTTGGTCCCGCCTCTCAACCGTCAATCAACTGGTGTACAGATTCCTGAGCCTATTGGGCTCTATCATATCTACACTTGAAACTGTGTATGGAGTCAGCCTCCACCACATCACTGCCTAATGCATTCCATTAGGGAGAGAGAGAGGGGGGAGGGAGAGAGAGAGGATGAGAAGATGGAGAGAGAGAGAGTGTGAGTGAGTGAGTTAAAGAAAGAAAATGAGCGATTGAATGAAAGCGAATAGAAAAAAATCTTTCAACGCTGCCTTAATTAAAATGAAGATTGAAACAATGTGTGGACACGTTTCATCTGTGTGTGTTTGTGGGGTAAATGACCATGCAACGGGGGGGGGGGGGTGATGGGGGGGGCCTTTTATCCCCCCTCACCCCCTCCCCCCCAACCCTGGCTGTTATAGAACTCTCCCAGTGTGTTGAGTGTTTCCGTAATGTAGCTATTGTGTCAGTCAGAACAACACCGGCTTTGTCAACATAATTGTCACGTCTGTAAAGGTTATTATTGTTAGTTTTTGCTTGCATTGTCGCACTTGCTGCGCCTACAGTTTGTTCTCTCATGTGCCCGTCCGGGGTTTTTTATTTATTAAAAGGCAGGGTTTTTATTGATCGTTTTGGTCTATTTCGTCGGGGTTTATTGATCGTTTTGGTCTATTTCGTCGGGGTTTATTGATCGTTTTGGTCTATTTCGTCGGGGTTTATTGATCGTTTTGGTCTATTTCGTCGGGGTTTATTGATCGTTTTGGTCTATTTCGTCGGGTTTTTATTGATCGTTTTGGTCTATTTCGTCGGGTTTATTGATCGTTTTGGTCTATTTCGTCGGGTTTTTATTGATCGTTTTGGTCTATTTCGTCGGGTTTTATTGTTTTGGTCTATTTCGTCGGTTTTTATTGATCGTTTTGGTCTATTTCGTCGGGGTTTATTGATCTTTTTGGTCTATTTCGTCGGGTTTTTATTGATCGTTTTGGTCTATTTCGTCGGGGTTTATTGATCGTTTTGGTCTATTTCCTCGGGTTTTATTGATCGTTTGGTCTATTTCGTCGGGTTTTATTGATCGTTTTGGTCTATTACGTCGGGGTTTAGTTATTATTTACTCTGTTTCGTCTGCCTTTAGTGACCGTTTGAGTTATTACGTCCGTCTTTACTAACCAATTTCTTTATTCTTATCTGTTGCACCTTAACTCTTACTGAGCCCCGTGTTGCATTGCACTTGTTACTGCCTTGGGATGGGGTGCATAATAAAGAAAGAAATTGAATTAATTCTCTTCTGCACTCTCCAGTCTCCCTACTGCTCTGTGCTCTCTCTCTTGAGTAACTCTTCTACACACACCCCGGGCCTAAACATCTGGAAATGAAGCAATTGATGACTTTTCGGTTCGGTCTGGACCATTATCACGTCCTGTAATTGGTCCAGGACCAGCACGGACCGAGACGTGGTCAATACTATTATTATTATTATTAGATTTGTGCGTTGGGGGTGTGTAATTTTCAGGCCCGTTATTGTGGATTATTATCTGCAGCGGTCTTCACTTTGGTCCAATTCAGTTCAACACTACCAGTTTTTCTCAAGTCCCCCCCCCCCTCCCTCCCCCTTGTGACACTGTGCCATTGTGGCGGTCCAAAGAGGGGAGGAAGGGGAACAATGAGGAGAAAGCGCCAAGCCAGTTCGGGTATATAGCATTGGGACAGTCCACGGAAATGCTGGTAGCTCACCGTAGTGGCGCGGTGTACACTGAGTCAAGGTAAACTTTACCACAACCAAGAGTCAGGAGCGTGTGAGCGAGAGTTTACCCCTCTCCCACTCCTTCCCTCCCTGCCCCCTTCTTCCCGCTCCTTCCCTCTCAGTCCCATTCCTACCCATCCTCCACCCCATTCCCTTCCTCTCCCCATTCTCTCCCTCCTGCCCTTCTTCCCCCTCTCCTTACCCACCTACCCTTTTTCCATCCTCTCCATCCTTGCTCTCCTCCCTCAATTTCTCATTCACCCTCCCCCCCCCTTCCCCCAGAAAACAACCCCCATAGGCAAGCAAGTGAAAGCAAGTCCGTCGTTGTTCATTAGTTAACAGTATTAATCACAGTGGATAAACAAGGTCGTTTATTTCTGCCACGCCTAAATGTGAAGGTTGATAATTATGTGTGTGTGTGTGTGTGAGAGGTGGGGGATGGAGAGAGAGTAAGGAAGGGAGGATGGGACGGAGTGTAAGGGGGAGGGGAAGAGATGGAAGGGGTGGGGTGCAAAGGAATGAAGGAAGGGAGACAGAGTTAAGGGAGAGACAGACAAACGAATAGGGAGTGAAAGGTAGAGACAGTAGCTCTGTTAATCAGTTAAGAAGTACTGTAGTTGGATTGTTTTTGCGACTTTCAGTTTGATTTTGAGGATTTGTTGTGGAGGCTGAGGATGGTTAGTGTGAGGGACGTGGTTAGTGTTGTTTTCTGAACAATGTGGTATAAACAGTAATTTAGAATTTTGACTTAGAATGAAGACCTCAGTTTTGTGGGTGTGTTACGGCCACTATGGGTCGCAACCGGGTTCTTTGCTGGAGGAACCAAAGTGCTAGTATCCGTCTCCAAGTCGGTAGTGGCTTTCAAGGAGTGAGCTTGGTAATGCAGGTAAAACACAAGGGGGGAGTTGAAAGGAATGGCACTTCATCCTTTATCAATATATTCACATATCACTTTCCCCATCACCTTAAATAGAATCATAAAGGAAGTATTACTACACTGATATATACACATGTGTCGCTCTCATAGGGCACTAAGCGCTCCTCGATGCTCATGCAATGCAGCCTTGTCAACTTCCGTGTTTCCTCAACACACAGTACCGTCCTCAACCAGTACTGGGAAACACCAACGAGTCTACCCTAGCCACGGGCCAGCCTACCCCTAGCCACGGGCCAGCCTATCTACAGTCTCACTAGGTGCTCCTTGTGAACGCCCACAATCACTCTCCAGCCTGGTGCTGGCAGAGAACATCAGCCTCGCGCTGCTGGGCCTCTACACGAACAAATACAAGGGTAGCGAACCCCTGGCAGGAGCTTCTTGCAACAAGCTGGTTACACTCCTCCGTAGCACCTTACTGTCGGTCGTCTCTTCCTCTAGCCAGTCCCAGGATACGTCGAATTGTCACTGCCACTTCACAGGCAGACAGCAGATACTACTCAGTTCCTCTTCGGCGACACTCACTACTCACGTAAAGCAGAATGAAGTAGAAGGATAATAGGCTGCCCTGGGTAGACTGACTGTCCTCGTACCACAGCAGCCCTACGTAGCCTCTGTGGATACAGACACGTCAACAGTAAACTGGCCGGTACTTGTGAAACTAGGACATGCCACTTACGGACTCTGACATTGACATACAACTTCTATCACGATAGATGGCGCTGATTTCCAGGCGTCACCTCACCAGAGGTCAGCTACAGCGACTCTTCGGGCTGACCAAGGCAGGAATCTAACGCCTCTTACAGGTATCATCCTGCCAACACCAGATGGCGTCGTCCATTTAGTGGGGGTTTAGGGAGCAGACTCACAGATGGCGTTGACGTCGCTGCTCCGTGCTCCGACGATGGAGTCGGGTTCGTAACAGGGTATAAGTCTGACCTTTATATGCTTACGTGTTGACACGTGGCTTTACTTCCGTGTTGACACGTGGCTTTACTTCCGTGTTGACACGTGGCTTTACTTCCGTGTTGACACGTGGCTTTACTTCCGTGTTGACACGTGGCTTTACTTCCGTGTTGACACGTGGCTTTACTTCCGTGTTGACACGTGGCTTTACTTCCGTGTTGACACGTGGCTTTACTTCCGTGTTGACACGTGGCTTTACTTCCGTGTTGACACGTGGCTTTACTTCCGTCTTGACACGTGGCTTTACTTCCGTCTTGACACGTGGCTTTACTTCCGTGTTGACACGTGGCTTTACTTCCGTCTTGACACGTGGCTTTACTTCCGTGTTGACACGTGGCTTTACTTCCGTCTTGACACGTGGCTTTACTTCCGTGTTGACACGTGGCTTTACTTCCGTCTTGACACGTGGCTTTACTTCCGTGTTGACACGTGGCTTTACTTCCGTCTTGACACGTGGCTTTACTTCCGCGTTGACACGTGGCTTTACTTCCGTCTTAACACGTGGCTTTACTTCCGCGTTGACACGTGGCTTTACTTCCGTCTTGACATGTGGCTTTACTTCCGTCTTGACACGTGGCTTTACCTCCTTGAGACGTGACTTTACCTCCTTGAGACGTGACTTTACCTCCTTGAGACGTGGCTTTACCTCCTTGAGACGTGGCTTTACCTCCTTGAGACGTGGCTTTACTTCCTTCTTGAGACGTGGCTTTACCTCCTTGAGACGTGGCTTTACCTCCTTGAGACGTGGCTTTACCTCCTTGAGACGTGGCTTTACTTCCTTCTTGAGACGTGGCTTTACTTCCTTCTTGAGACGTGGCTTTACTTCCTTCTTGAGACGTGGCTTTACCTCCTTGAGACGTGGCTTTACTTCCTTCTTGAGACGTGGCTTTACTTCCTTCTTGAGACGTGGCTTTACCTCCTTGAGACGTGGCTTTACCTCCTTGAGACGTGGCATTACCTCCTTGAGACGTGGCTTTACCTCCTTGAGACGTGGCTTTACCTCCTTGAGACGTGGCTTTACTTCCTTCTTGAGACGTGGCTTTACCTCCTTGAGACGTGGCTTTACCTCCTTGAGACGTGGCTTTACTTCCTTCTTGAGACGTGGCTTTACTTCCTTCTTGAGACGTGGCTTTACTTCCTTCTTGAGACGTGGCTTTACCTCCTTGAGACGTGGCTTTACCTCCTTGAGACGTGGCTTTTCTTTCGGCCCGCCTCTCAACTGTCGATCAACTGTTACTATTTGTTTTAAATCTATGTACCTACCTTGAGGTTACCTTGAGGTGCTTCCGGGGCTTAGCGTCCCCGCGGCCCGGTCGTCGACCAGGCCTCCTGGTTGCTGGACTGATCAACCAGGCTGTTAGACGCGGCTGCTCGCAGCCTGACGTCTAATGTAGGTGGGTGATTTTGGCTGGACTGTCTCTCGCTGGGAGAGTTAGGCGTTTGTCTCTATGGAGAGCAACAGGGTAACGTTCCGGGTGGTTGCATATGGGGGGAGGGAGGGATAGTGGGGGGATGGAGGATTGGTGTGCGGGGGGGGGGGGAGGGTTGCAGGTCAATGGGGGGGGATAGGAGGGCAGGTTTGTAGGAGGGGGGGGGTAGGAGGGCAGGTTTGTAGGAGGGGTGGATAGGTTGGGAGGGGTTTGCTGGGGGGGGGGGATGGGTGGTGGACGGTTTGACCATCATGACTTGCTTCTCTGTCACCTTGCTTCGTATATCCCCCTCCTCCTCCCCCCCCCTCATCCCCCTCCTCCTCCTCCTCCTCCTCCTCCTGTTTTAGGTCTTTGTCTTCTCTCTTCTATCTCTTCCTAATCTGTTTCACCTGCACCCTTCCTCTGATTATGTTATGTTTCTCTTTTGTTTCCATTCGTTTCCTCCTCCCTTTCTCCGCTTACTCCTGCTATTGCCGGTTCTCGTCTGCTTCCTCTTTCTCCTATTTGTATTTCCTTCCTCCTTTTCCTTCACTTTCACCAATGTAATTTATCTTCCTACTTCTATCTCATTCACTTATCCAAATATCTACATTTGTATATTTTCCTTTTAACGTAAATAATATTCAGAAAGGTCATTAAGCTAACGTGATATATAGAATGAATTGGAGCAAATCAGGAGGCTCGAACCAGCGACCAGGATATTGCCAGCCGGACATCAACTTCGACTGGGTTCATTAGAGGCCTCGATCCAGACTTTCTGTGGATTCAGTGAAATCCCAGGTTGCATGTCTTGTGACATGTGGTGGTGCAGGGGTATGGTGCGTGACTGGGAGTACCCCAGGGGCCAGATTCACGAAGCAGTAACGCGAGCACTAACGAACCTGTACATCCTTTCTCAATCTTTGGCGGCTTTGTTTACAATTATTAAACAGTTAATGAGCTCCGAAGCACCAGGAGGCTGTTTATAACAATAACAACAGTTGATTGGGAAGTTTTCATGCTTGTAAACTGTTTAATAAATGTAACCAAAAGCTGTCGAAGATTGAGGAAAGATGTACACGTTCGTAAGTATTTGCGTAACTGCTTCGTGAATCTGGCTCCTGGTCACTAGTTCGAGGTGTTCCTCTTCTTACGAGCGGTAAATGCGTGCAAATTGGACGCTTGTGTCGGATAAGCTGTGTATTTTAGAGTGAGGAAACGCGTGTATAAGCATATATCCCAGCCCATCCTAACGTAGGCTCGTTAATCCAGCCGCCAAACCCTCTGGTTTATGAGTGACAACTTCTTTTAACACGATTCACAACTGACGACGTTCGAAGTTTTCTCGAACGTTGCTTCACTCTCTTCAAATGTTCAAATCGTAACTTTATAATTGCCTCACGCCATGTACCATAAATACACGGCGTTAAGAAGTATATACAACAGAAAGCAAACTCCTAACCTTATCTAGGACTAACTATACACCGAATTCTAATGTTAATTTCAGTAATGTTAATTTACATACGAGAAAACGACAGTTTTGAGGCACGGTACAAGTGAGGACTGCGGCCGGTGAGTTACAATAACGTGGCTAAAGTATGTTGACCAGACCACACACTAGAAGGTGAAGGGACGACGACGTTTCGGTCCGTCCTGGACCATTCTCAAATCGATTCTCAAGTGACGACTGCGTCTTCGGGGTCGGCCGCCGCCTGGACGAGCCCCGGGACTGGTATAGGCATATCCGGGTACTACTACTGGCTGCTCGGACGGCCAAAATATAGCTCTTCCTCTGAGGTAATTGGTAACCGGAGTGAACGTCCGAGGCGGCGCTAAATTGAACGCTGCGCTTGTGTTTGGTGTTGCGGGGTGGGGGTGATTGTGGGTATTATTCTGTCGTATTTTGTGCTAATGGTCCATGCTAGTATATTTTTGTGGTCATTTTTGGGTATTTGATTTTGTGTGTGTGTGTGTGTGTGTGTGTGTGTGTGTGTGTGTGTGTGTGTGTGTGTGTGTGTGTGTGTGTGTGTGTGTGTGTGTGTGTGCTTCCCCTAGTTGTGCTTGCGGGGGTTGGGCTTTGGCTCTTTGGTCCCCACCTCTCAACTGGTGTACAGGTTCCTGAGCCTATTGGGCTCTATCATATCTACACTTGAAACTGTGTATGGAGTCAGCCTCCACCACATCACTGCCTAATGCATTCCATTTGTTAACTACTTTTGACACTGAAAAAATCTTTCTAATGTCTCTGGGGCTCATTTGGGTATTAAGTCTCCACCTGTGTCGCCTTGTTCGTGTTCCGCCCGTGCTGAAAAGTTTCTTTGTCCACCCTGTCAATTCCAAACAAATTCAATGGGAGAATTTTACAGGTGGTTATCATGTCTCCCCTTACTCTTCTGTCTTCCAGGGACGTGAGGTTTAGCTCCCTTAACCTTTCCTCGTAGCTCATACCTCTCAGTTTTGGGACTGGTCTGGTGACATACCTCTGAATCATTTTTAACTCTTGTCTTGTGTTTAAATAGGTATGGAATCTAGGCCGGAGCTGCATACTCCAGGATTGGTCTTACATAAGTGGTATACAAGGTCCTGAACGATTCCATTCACAAGTTTCTAAAGGCAATTGTTATGTTGGCCTACCTAGCATATGCAGCTGATGATATCCTTTTGATGTGGGTCTCTGGGGACACGTTCGGTGTGATATCAACCCCCAGATTTTTCTTTCTATATTTCTAGTCCTGTAGTTTCTCCATGTTCTTGAACTCAATTGCTTCGCTACTTTACATTCCTGATTGAACCATGGGTTCTTCTATTGCTTTCCATTTTTCTCCTTTTGTGGCCGGGATAAACCTGTCTGCAGCTTCCTGGCACTTGTGGGTGACATAGTCCATCATATCCTGTACAGTTTCTTCTCTGAGTTCTGTCTCCCATGGTATTCCCATTAGGAAGTTCCTCATCTCGTCATATTTTCCTCTTCGGTAATTTAGCATTTTCCCTTCCGATCCCTTCCTTGGATAGGTTATCCCTGAGTGTGTGTATTCACCTAGTTGTGATTGCGGGGGTTGAGCATTGCTCTTTCGGCCCGCTTCTCAACTGTCACTCAATCAACTGTTACTAACTACTAACACACACACACACACACACACACACACACACACACACACACACACACACACACACACACACACACACACACACACACACACACACACATACACACACACACAATAATAATAATAACAGAACGAGGGGACATGGGTGGAAACTGGAAACTCAGATGAGTCACAGAGATGTTAGGAAGTTTTCTTTTAGCGTGAGAGTAGTGGGAAAAGGGAATGCATTTGAGGAACAGGTTGTGGAAGCAAACTCTATTCATAATTTGAAAATTAGGTATGATAGGGAAATGGGACAGGAGTCATTGCTGTAAACAACCGATGGCTGGAAAGGCGGGAATCCAAGAGTCACTGCTCGATCCTGCAAGCACAAATAGGTTAGTACACACACCAGGATGCCTCCCACATTACGTAACTCCCAGATACTTATTTACTATTAGGTGTACAAAGTCATCAGGTGAAAGAAACAGCCTGTTTGTATCAGCCTGGGCCGGGAATCGAACCGGGACCGTTGAATGCAACTCCCGAACGCTGTCCTCTTGGCCGCGAAGACCCGTGCGTGCCTACTTCGGGTTTGGAATGCATTTTGCCTGATAAATGACCAATGAATTAGAGGCTCAGAAGAACGTGGCAGTTCAAACCCCACCATTTGGTGGCAGCGAGGTGGGAGAGGTAGTGTGGGAGAGGTAGTGTGGGAGAGGGGGAGGGGAAGTGATGTAAGGGGTGAGGACAGACCGGACTGTGGGAAAGGTAGATGAGAGGGGGTAGGGTTGGGTGAGGTGGGGGGGGGAGCTGGCAGGATATAAAATGACGTTCTTTCATCAACAATAAACTATGCGAAGTGAAACTTCTATTTACCCCAATACGTGGTCTGATCCCCTTCACTAGTGTGACGTACGGAAACATGGCTCTGTTTCGTGGTCATCCTCCCGCTCTGTTCCGGGTCTGGGACGGTGTTGGGGGTCTGGGACGGTGTTGGGGGTCTGGGACGGTGTTGGGGGTCTAGGACGGTGTTGGGGGTCTGGGACGGTGTTGTGGGGTCTGGGACGGTGTTGGGGGTCTGGGACGGTGTTGGGGGTCTGGGACGGTGTTGGGGGTCTGGGACGGTGTTGGGGGTCTGGGATGGTGTTGGGGGTCTGGGACGGTGTTGTGGTGTCTGGGACGGTGTTGGGGGGGTCTGGGACGGTGTTGGGGGGTCTGGGACAGTGTTGGGGGTCTGGGACGGTGTTGTGGGGTCTGGGACGGTGATGGGGTCTGGGACGGTGTTGTGGGGTCTGGGACGGTGTTGGGGGGGTCTGGGACGGTGTCGGGTCTGGGACGGTATTGGGGCGTCTGGGACGGTGATGGGGGGGTCTGGGACGGTGTTGGGGGGGTCTGGGACAGTGTTGGGGGTCTGGGACGGTGTTGTGGGGTCTGGGACGGTGATGGGGGTCTGGGACGGTGTTGTGGGGTCTGGGACGGTGTTGGGGGGGTCTGGGACGGTGTCGGGGTCTGGGACGGTGTTGGGGCGTCTGGGACGGTGATGGGGGTCTGGGACGGTGTCGGGGGTCTGGGACGGTGTTGGGGTCTGGGACGGTGTCGGGGTGTGGAACGGTGTTGGGGTCTGGGACGGTGTTGGGGGTCTAGGACGGTGTTGGGGTCTGGGACGGTGTTGGGGGGTCTGGGACGGTGTTGGTGGTCTGGGACGGTGTCGGGGTCTGGGA